GGAACATTCACGGCCATGGATTCTCTATGTTTGTAGAAGATCTTCAGCCAGCGGCAAAAGGGACAGTTATTTCTCCTAAATCCAAACGTCTTCTTAATATTCGATCTGACGTGGCCAAATAAGATCGGATCCAATTCCAAACTAGAGCTTACCCTCCTAAAACAAAAAGCTCATTTTATAACATGGGAGGTTCATTTACAACATTCTTAAAGATTTTTAGTAGTCTATTTCTATTTCATTTTGAATGTGTCTATTTAACAAATTTATTGTAATAAACGTCACACTGTAATATATAATAACAGATAAGACTGTTGATTTTTATTCGTAACATGTTTCAAGTGGAAAATAAAGATAATTTCATTATAGAACTCTCACGCATAAAATTGTCCATGGATCATGGATGACGTCTACAGATCTTTGTTTAAATCTGATGAATTAACAGACCCAGTATCAAGACTGTTCACAGCCCACCGTCGAAATTTGAGCCAAATCCATGTATGTCCGGGTTATCCGCGTTGGAAAATCAACAAGACACTGAGACACTGCCATAATAAAGTCATCAGTAGGAACAGGAACTTATTTCTAGTTCTTCTGAAGGCTATTTACATTTATATTCAAGACTCAAATCAACTTGCGAAAATGTCCCTTTAAAACTCGGACATTGCGGTTTGCAATACAGGGCCCAAAGTTTGATAATTATTTAGAAAGAACGAAATAGTGAGAAGTATTAGAATTTTTTGTCATTTCCCTTGCGCATTTTGCGACTCCCAAAAAAATCAAATCTAATTCCTGATGATAATCTTTCCCAAACAAAATCTTAGAGAATCTGATCAATCTCTATTCTCTTCTATTCTATTCTATTCTATACTGTTTTGTTGAAATACCAGAATATAATATAATATACCGCACTGGATTTTATTGAAAGATTCCTGAATTTCTTTTGGATTTCAACGAACAACAAATATGACTGTAAGCTAGGTTCATGGTTGTTGCTTTTGATATTGAGATGTTTGACAAGAGATTGTGTATGATATGTACATGGTCGCATTCATCAATGTATAAACCACACCACCTAATGAATAAATAGATGAAAATTTAATTCACATCATCTTTTTACAAGGAGGTGAATTTTAATTTATTAAAAATTTACTTTTTCATAAGAATGGGTTTGCTCGTACTCAGTTTCGAGCAAGTGTTCAAATTTACAAAACAAACTGTAGGCCTACGTAGAATCGTATCGATTGGCCGATTTGAAAATCACGAGATATTGAAATTATTTATTGCAATCGACTATAATCCAATAATAGTCTTTGTAGATGAAGTATCCTTAATTAAATATAATGTTCACCACGTTTTAAGTAATAATACTGACGGTCGACTTGGTGGAACTGGTGATACATTGCACTATTTAATGTCTAGTGGAGCAGTAAGAAAAGAAAATAAAGTCAATTAATCTGACGATTTTGCTAAATGTAATCAAAGAGGTAGAGCATTTAAATTACAACATATATACATCACTATATAACTTTTGTAATCATCACGTACATCAAATCGTAATCTATTTCCCATGCTTTTTCGTACTAATTTTGATGATATTGATTTTGATATAACATTCATCATCACATAACATTAAATATCATTCTTATAATATTGATTTATTTTTTACAGTTCAAACGATCAAGGTTAAAAGGGGAGTTTTAAAATCATCCCGACTATTTATACGACGATCATTCAAATGTCTGAAAATAAAAGAATAAATAGTGCAATGTCAACTGATTCACCTTATTATGTGGATTAATATGATTAATATTTTGGGTACAAACACAATCGTCAGTACGGTTAAATCTACAAGTTATGCTGATCAAACTTGCTGTGCATACTAGTACATTGAGAGAACTGTCATGTCTTGTCTACTAGTGGTGCGGATACGAAATCTGTAGTCTCAGTTATCAGGGGTATGGATAAAGGGAACGTTTCCGGTATAAACACAATCGTCAAGAAGGAAGTAACTGTTGGAGGTGTGAAGCCAGTAGACCTGATGAGAGAAATATAATTGTTAAAATAAGATTAAAATAAACTCTATTGGCTTTATCATTATGTTTTTTTTTGCGTTGAGGGGCGAGGGATTGCAACCTTTTAAGCATTTGAAACTACTATAGTTCGATTCTAATTGCATTTAAATGGATGGTATCTATAGAGTATATTGTGTTAAACGTCAGTTATATGTATACCATTGCAACACAGCAGAGATGTAAAGCGGCTGGATAACAGTTTCGATATGCTGATATCGCAAACTAGGTAGTTGTTGGTAGTTGTAGTAGTTGGTAGTTTGATTGGTTCAAATTGGATGATTCTGTGTTGTTGGTTTAGTTGTTTATAATTCGTTAGATCTGGTCGGGTCGAATGACATGACGGTGAAACTCGGCGTTGGATGGTGTGGCGTGAGTTACTTGATCTCCTTCATTCTTCCAAACTCGTTCTGATCATGGTATTTCTTGTTGATTGGTAGTCGAATGATAGTCGTTGGTTTAGTTTTGTTTGGTTAGATTATCTGTTATCTGTAAAAAAACTAGAAGACCTGAAAAAAGAGAAATCTGTTCAAGACAGATTTGGTAATAAATTGGTAGACGAGTTCCATAATCGTATACCAGTGTTCCGTGGGTGGAGCCAAAACATTCTGTATGGTGAGTGGTATGCCGTTGGTTTCCAGGTACTCTTTTAGTAGCTTACGAGCTGGTTTCAGCATTGAATGAGGACATGCAACCGTGTGGCGACCTGGTCGAATCTACATTTAATGGTGTTGAACTGATGGTCTCGTAGTATGTTGTTGGTCCGAGATCTGGATTGCAGTTTACACCAGTTGGCTACAAATAAATGGTTTGGTTTGGTATCTTCGGATCATTCTGTCTGGTATCTAGCGGTGTTGAGGTTCCGAAGCATGTCAGTCCATTTCCCAGAAGATACGATACTGCAGAATTCCAAAGAGGAGTATTCTACAGGTTCGATATCCTCCAGACTCTTTCCTTTACACAACGATCTGCTTGATCATTGCCAGGGGTGGGACCCATACTACTTCGATCTTGTGGTTGTTGTCGGTTTGGTAGTTGTGGATGCACGACACCACCAGCAAACTTGTACAAATACTTATGGCCCAAATGCTACCTAATCACTTGATTGGACAGGTGCGGTAGAGTGGTGATTATAGGATAAAAAAACCCCTAAAATTCTACAGACTTGAAAAGTATGAATTCGTATCTACATCATGCAAATCGTGAAACTAAGCAGAATGTTAACTGTAGGCGACTAAATTAGCAGCCATCTGGACAAATGGCTCCCATCTTGAAGACAAATGGTCGCCATCTTGGATTTTCAAGTAACACTTAGTGTGCCAAGGTGATGTTTGTTTAGATCATTGCTTGCACGATTTTTCTTTTATCTGCCCCAGTATTCTTGAATTTTCGTGAATCGTCTCTGACACTATATTAAGGCTACATATTCCAATCTTTTAATTCTTATTAAGGAGGCGTGGTTTATAATGATCGAACAGTCAGTTAGCATAAAATTCAATCCAATATCCTTAAACAAAACGTCGATCACACAAAATCCTTAACAGAGACAAAACTGCGTGTTTTTTGTGAATATTATATTTGCCATATTCTAATAAATCATTCTCGGAAGAGAAAAGATATTACTATCACCATCAAATCATCAAAGATTACACAATAAAATTGTTTATGGAGACGTGTTGAATGTAAATTGTCACTTTGAATTTGACTGAAATTAAAGTGCTGTTATGACACCTACAAACCAACTTTTGCAGATATTCTTTCTTGGTAATTCGACGGAACAGGGATGAAAAGGGACTAGTCAAATGATCCACCGTAAAATTCAGCTAGCCCTCTTGGGAAACTATCAAGGGTAGCTAAATTGATGGTTGTTGCCATTGTATCAGATTTTAATTTTAAGTGGACTTCTCTTTCGAAAACAGATTGAAAAAATAAAATAAACGCGGAATGCCGAATTGACATACACTGCTTTCCCGGATAACAAAACCAAACACTGAATCTTCTGCAATGAAATGTAAATAATATTGGTGACGTCTGCGCAGGTAAATGTTGATAACGTAAGTAAAATAATATAGACAACGGTATCACTTTGAAAAAAAAAACTTCCATTCAATCAAAAACACATTCAGTTAGATTTGAACAATTGAAATATATCATGAATACAGGATCTTTGTTTAGGTCTTCTTTCGCTCACAATACAAATAAAAACAGACAAACATATGAAGACTAGGTAAAGAAGATTGACTTCCGACTCCACGAGAGACAGTATCCAGCATCTAAATAATATAGCATGTTTCGTCTGTTATATTATTGACAGTTTCTATCGCTTTGTCACATTTTGTCACATTGCAATTAAAAATGAGTCAACCACGACTACGAAGATTTTTTATATAATATGAGACAGAGGCGGTGTCCCAAATATGCCATCTAATAATTGTCTTAACGTTATTAGGGCCATAAGACTTTTACATGGAAACATCTTTTATTTCCCTTTAATATGCCACTTTTTCTATAGCCCGTCATGCTTTATACTAGTTTGTGGTATCATCTGAACAACGAGACGCTGGCATAGAGGCATGTCTATCAAACCGAATAAAATACTTGATGGCATGTAAGATAATGATATAGCTTTTGTAAACAGCATATCTAATGTATATACATTTTAATGTAGATAAATCAATTGGGTTTTCTGTTCAGAAATAGACACTGTCGGTAATTTGTGGATTATCATTAATTGTGGATTTATCAATAGTTCGGATTATTACGTTTTGTGTAAAATAATCTCTTTCTTTGTAATTCATTTTATTACAGTTTGATTAATTGCAAATTGTGTCAAGGAAGTGTTGACTGTGAAGTCACGAAAGGAATGTTATGAGTTTTATGCACCTTCTGAAGATGTGAAGTGGTTACTGGGGACTGAGGCTTAAAAACAAAATGTGTATAAGAACAGTAATACTGTTTACTGTTGCGCTCGTCATATCTACCAAATGTGTAACAGGTATGCTTTTGATTGCAGGGACGGAAAAAAATATATCTTTAATTATACAAATCTTTCATTTGACGGTCGCTACTTCCGGTACAGCTTCTTATTGGAATAGTGTACTCACAGAGTCACCGACTGACAAACTTTAATCTGAATCTCTTCTTCAAGCTTCTAATTCACCTTAGGACGCGGATGACTTTTTCCGATGTTAAAACTTGTAAGTAAGTGTTCCCTGAACAAGGACATCGAAATAAATAGGGTTTTGGTAATGATAGCTTAGGCACAATCTGATTCAACTTTTTACCTCTACAATGCTTAGACCGAAACATCTGCGTCTATTCTACAGAATAGATTTAAACACATTTTAAATTTTCGGAGTAGATGCCATGAGTGTCTTTTTAAGACAAAGCGATGACATAGCATTAAGAATAATAACGAACGTATCTTCAATCTTGTAGCAAATGTGTCTTAATATTCTTTTTTAGGCTTCTTGACTGATCCGGAGGAATTTTTGAAGCTTGACCTGGCCATGAGATTGTTGTCTGGTAAACCGTTAGTGGACTCTTTTAGAGACTTGTTTCCTCATCCATTTTTCTCTGATCCGGTTACGACTCGTAGAGATTCCAAAGATCCAGAGCCAACGACTCAAGCACCACCAACCACAACGATTTCACTCCTGTCATTACCCCACATATCAGAAAATACTCAATTTTCATATCAACAATATTCCGCAGCACTCAACTACTCCACATCGGTATCTGAACCAGCGAAAGTCGCCTTCTCAACTGATCATTTACAAAACAATGATCCCGGAAACCAACAATTTAGTAGTCAATCGAACCAGCAATTCAATAGTCAACCGATCAAGAAATTCAATAGCCAGCCAAACCAACAATTCAATAGTCAATCGAACCAACAATTCAATAGTCAATCGAACCAACAATTAAATAGTCAATCGAACCAACAATTCAATAGTCAATCGAACCAAATATTTAATAATCAACAGAACCAGCAATTCAATGAACAATCTAACCAACGATTCGGTGACCAATCGAACCAACAATTTAGTGATCAATCGAACCAACAATTCAATATTCAGTGGAACCAAAAATTCAATAGTCAATCGAACCAAAAATTCAATAGTCAATCGAACCAACAATTTGGTGACCAATCGAACCAACAAGTCCATATTCAGTCGAACCAACAATTCAATGGTCATTCGAACCAACAATTCAGTGATCAATCGAACCAACAATTCAGTGACCAATCGAACCAACAATTTGGTGACCAATCGAACCAACAAGTCCATATTCAGTCGAACCAACAATTCAATGGTCATTCGAACCAACAATTCAGTGATCAATCGAACCAACAATTCAGTGACCAATCGAACCAACAATTCAATATTCAGTTGAACCAACAATTCAAAAGTCAATCGAACAAACAATTCAATATTCAGTCGAACCAACAATTCAAAAGTCAATCAAACAAACAATTAAGTGACCAAACGAACCAACAATTCAATAGTCTATTGAACCATCAATTCGGTGACCAATCGAACCAACAAATCATTAGTCAATCGAACCAACAATTCAATGGTCAATCGAACCAAAAATCCAATGGTCAATTGAACCAACAATTCAATGACCAATCGAACCAACAATTCAATATTCAGTCGAACCAAAAATCCAAAAGTCAATCGAACCAACAATTCAATGACCAATCGAACCAACAATTCAATATTCAGTCGAACCAACAATTGAATAGTCAACCGAATCAACAATTCAATGGTCAATTGAGCCAACAATTCAAGGGTCAATTGAACCAACAATTCAATGGTCAATTGAACCAACAATTCAGTGACCGATCGAAACAACGACTCAGTGACCAATCGAACAAACAATTCAGTGAACAATCGAAACAATTCAAAAGTCAAACGAACCAACAATTCAGTGGTCAATCGAACCAACAATCCAATGGTCAGTCAAACCAACAATTCGATGACAAATCGAACCAACAATTCAATGGTCAATCGAACCAACAATTCAATAGTCAATCGAACCAACAATTCAATGGTCAGTCAAACCAACAATTCGATGACCTATCGAACCAACAATTCAATAGTCAATCGAACCAACAATTCAATGGTCAATCGAACCAACAATTCAATGGTCAGTCAAACCAACAATTCGATGACCAATCGAACCAACAATTCAATAGTCAATCGAACCAACAATTCAATGGTCAATCGAACCAAAAATTCAATGACCAATCGAACCAACAATTCAATATTCAGTCGAACCAAAAATCCAAAAGTCAATCGAACCAACAATTCAGTGACCAATCGAACCAAAAATTCAGTGATCAATCGAACCAACAATTCAGTGATCAATCGAACCAACAGGTTAATAGTCAATCGAAACAACAATTCAATAGTCAATCGAACCATCAATTCAATAGTCAATCGAACCAACAATTAAATAGTCAATCGAACCAACAATTCAATAGTCAATCGAACCAACAATTCAATAGGCAATTGAGCCAACAACCAATTTGGAAACAAAACGAGTGGGTCAATGGACAGACAGCTCAGCAGTTCACTAATCAAGCAATCCAACGAGTCAATGGGGTACCAATCAAGCAATCTAATGGACAACCAAATGACTTTATAAGTAGACTAAATCATGCAAATGGGCAACCTTATCAGCTACCCAATACAGAACCAAATCAGCTAAATGGTCAACTGAATCAATTCAATGGACAATCCAAACAACAACCCAACACTCAACTAAATCAATTCGATGGACAACAGCTTTATCAACAACCAAATAAACCCAATGAACAACCATCCAGCCAGAGCTTTACGCTTACAAATAATCCATCTGCGGTTCACTTACCCAACACACAATCAGCCATTGATCAATCAGGTTTGACAAAAGCTTTAAAATTCTTGAAAAATTATCGAAAACTGAATCCAAATTCAGGTAAAATTGTTTCACAACAACCAAAATCTGAACTTCAAGCATTTGGAGCTGTACCGTATCAAAAGCCGCATGAAAACCAACCAGTTATGTACTCAAATCACTATTACCAAAGACAACAATACCAAACGGATCCCGGCGCATCAACACCTTCTAAACCTTATGGTCAGAGTGCAATGTACAGACAACCAAATTTTTCGAATCAGTACTACTCAAATACATATACTTATCCCAGTTCACAAAGCCATACTTTCCATGATCCTGTAATTAGCCCTGGGCCTTATCAGAATGTTATGTATCACCAGTACGAGCGTCCTTATCAGCCCACGATACAGACTAATTACCAACCAGTCCAACCAATCCCTGATACTGGAATTCTGATCCGGGCAGGCGAAGGTATCCCGATTCCAAGTTCTTCAAGTGTTCAACCACAGTTTAATTACTCTGATGCACCCACAAATCCCGTTCAATATATTCAGCCAACTCCACAAATCGATACCAGGTCATACTATCCTACATCTTCAGCAGATAATGTTCCCATAGTACACCAGATGTCGCGGTATCAAAATGCTCCACAGACGTACACCCAACAAGAATACTCTGTGGCTGCTACACCGACAAACCAAAGCCCACAAGCTATGTACTTGCCAGTGAATCAACCACGGTCTATCAATTTTTATCCGACAGTGTCACAACAAAACTTCATTCAGCAACCGCATCTACAACTAACTCCACCGCCACCGACTACTGCATCTCCAGCATACCAACCAGAAGTTGAAATAGAAAGCCCAGAGAATCCATCAACCACACCAACTCCAATCACTACTACCCAGCTGCCTCTTTTCATACACAATGTTCTGCCCGCTTTGCCAACGGAGATCAGCGCTTTAAAGATGATGCAACCTAACCAACCCAAGCCACGGTCGCCAACCAGAGATCAGTTGGCCTATCTAAGTCCTGAATTTCAACACAGTTTACATCTGAGAGGATATTGAATCCACAGACTTTATGAGGTAAGAAACACTTTGAGATGTGACTTGAGAAGGACTAAAATAGTGTATGTTAAACAACAAAACCTATCTTTTTATTATACACACCGGGGTTAGTTGATTACCGGTGTCGTAAGATTTCCAAATAAATTTCACATTAATATGGGCGTATATATCTGTCTGTCCACAATTGTTGTGGACGCGATAGAGTGCTGGTTTCTTGGTGGATTTTGACGAAACTTGGTGTGAGTGTTCGCAATCACCTATGGTTGAACCCTATTGAAAATCAGACAAATGTTTAATATGAGTTATTGCCCTTGTTCTTGGAAACTTGTTCAATTTTTAACTTGTGAAAGGTCTAAAAGGCACAATTCGTTACAGATTTAGGAGAAATGTGTTGAAATTGTTAATTATTTCCCAATGATGTACCCTATAGATATATATATATATATATATATATAAAAATCCCTGGAAAGCATTTTATTGACCTTGTTCGTGAAATCACATAGAAAGCATAACCTCAACAGATTTTAAAGAAACTTGTTTGAATCACCCGAGCCTTATTGAAAAGCAGAAAATGGAAATATATTTAATATGGGTTATTTCCCTTGTTCTTCAATATGTGTTCAATCTTTAGCTCGTAAAACTCCAAAAGACAAAATTCTGGACTGATTTAGACGTAACTTGTTGAAAATAAAGAACAAGTCTTTGAATAAAGCTTGTACAGTATGAAAATGTTATTCTCGAAATAATTCATTATTGATAGCTGTTGTCAACTGCCCGGATGACTTGGCTGCCATTACAATGGTGGGCATATTACGATGGACCATCGTTATATTTATAAAGTGTAGCCATGTGCACATGTTATTCACCTTACGTTTTACAGTACAGTGATGTAACCTATTTTCGTGCATATAAAAAAAACGGAAATGTTTTTTTATGTCTTATGTCTTAGATGTTTCCTCAGATATTCTACAAAATAATTAAAATTGGTTTGTTTCAATTTTCTTTATGAATCCTTCACTTTGACCCATATTTCATCAGCAACCAACTCGGCAACGGCGGCAAAAGGCGTCACCTATTTTCGTGTACAGTGTTTAATCTATAAATAAGTCGAGAAAAACACGTATGCATACCCAGTGGTATAATTAACTTCTCTTAATATTTGTCTTAAATATCAATTCATTATAACTAATGGCAATTCCTTCAAAGAAAAACGATTTTCAAAAAAAAAATAGTGACTGACAAAATAAGACAAATGCTAAAAATCATTGAAACAACATAAGAATATGGACTACATTGTGTTCCATGGAATTTTTCTGCTGACACGGAATCCGCTTGTTGATCAAGTGACTTCATTCGTTGGACTACATTCTAGCAGACGACACATGGAATTCTGATTAGAGATTGGGATTATAAGGAAATTTTGCCGATTAAAAATTGTGACGTTTAGAAATAACTGAAATCCGCCATTTTGTATTTGTCAAAGTATACATTAGTACATTTTACCTTGATTGAAACTACTGAATTCATTCTACTAGCTGATATTGTACAGAAAACCCATGTTTATTAAAACAAATGCGAAGGTAGCGCGAGGTCGCACATGTAATTTTTAATCATTTTCGAAGATGCACGAAAAATAGGTTAGCCCGAAATTAGGTTACTTGACTGTACTATTTATTAATATTCAGATTTTGATGTAAAACTGAGTTACATTACCTGGACATGAAAATAATTAGATAATTATATATCATTCCTTTAATCTCAACAAGTTGATCAACGTTATCAACCATACAACCTTCCATACATGAATTTACTAATCTATTTAAGGTCCGTGCAAGGTCATCGGTTCTAGATGACTTGATAAGAACGACCATGTTCTTATAGCTTGTGTTGACAAGACCTTATCTGTGTTGTTTATCTTTGAACCTTGAGACAATAGTTAGAATGTTCTCCACTAAGCTCTAGGATTCTCTTATCTAAACTTCTAAAAAAATCTAATTGCTCATATACTATTAATGTGAAAACATCAACCAAGCAGAGGTCTTAGTATTGACAGATATCGTGGATAATATTATTGAAACCATTCCTCTTTGTTTCAGATATCTCTACAATGGAGTAGAAAGTTTAAGAAATCCGGTGATGGCTTCACAAATCCACAATAATCTACATTATAATACTGATAAGTTATTCCCTTGTCAATCTGTTGTGGTGTTGGTTTCAATAGGCTGATTTTCAGACAGGTGTACCCAGTAACATTTGATGTTAAGGGAAGGAATGTTCACAGTGGACTATTAAAGAGCTCTTTTATGCACTTCATGTGAATCTTCTTGGGTAGCTTAACTGATATTTTCCCGATTATCCCAAAATATATTATTACGGTCAAATCGAAGCTAAAAAATCGAAATCAGTAGAAATGTAGCAGTGGGGCCTGTGAAAGATGCAATTTAAGAATGACATTTATAACAATGATAATTATATTGTATCAAAATGGATTAGGAAAGGTGAGCATTCACTATCCACGTAGCAACTACGAGAGACTTGAGAGACTTGCATGGCCTCCCTTATTTTCATTTATGAAAAAGAAAATGCTAATAATTATATGATTAGAAGGTAGAGGTATTCTTATGACTTTGCAAAAAAAAACCCGTTTGTCTCAAATGTCCATAGTTAATTCATAAATAGCTAAATTAGAAGATAATTTCCAGTAGAATTCCAATGAGTAACCGATCAAGAGAGGTCAAGAAGCCCTAACTCAAAAAAGTTTTGTTTATCAAGACTGTAAATACATGGACATTTATGACTGGTTAAAACTCTTAATTATATGCAATAAGAACATAATGATATGACTAAGAATACATGATAATGCTTTAGAAACACGAATTAATCAATAGTTTGCTTAATTTGACACTAAAAAAAAGGAAACCATCTTTAATTACCACATTCTACCACATGGTCGTTAAAAACTGCCTTGATCATAGTTTAAAACGCTTGTACATGCACATTTCTTTCCCAATTTAATAAACCTACAGACGTACAGGCGGACATGCATGTTTTCACATATAAAAACAATTCAATTTATATACCTAACCACATAATTTTAATAACCTTTAAATGTGAAATTCGTTATAAAATTTACCTAAACGCGACAAAGTGGATGTCTTATGGTCCATTAACTCTGTGCTGTAGTTGGGAAGAAAACCAGATGTTTTGTCCAAACGATTACAGAACCAAGCATAACGTTCCACATAGGGTGATCGCTCCAGCATAGGTAGTATGGTTTTCATGAAGTTTAGATCATGGTCTATAGATACAGCTCCTTTACAGCTAAACTCTGTCAGCCAAATTTTACGGTTGAAGTGTCTGGAAATTTTCTCGATTGATTGCATCATTCTCTGTGGTTGGCAGTGATAACCATGAATGGCAATTTTATCAACTCTACAACCTTTACAGTGTTTGAAGAACGTTTCATACCATCGGATGCACATATCGGGATCGATGTCGCAAGCTGCAAGTGCGGGACCCACCAAAATCCTGTTTCCGGCCTTTTGCTGAACAAGTGGCCAAACCTGCGCACACTTCTCTACTGACATCTCTGCCTGGCCCTTTTGTTGTGGTTCATTAAATCCTAAAACATACTTGGCGTTTGCGGGTAATTTAGCCTGATGAGCTTCCTTTTCGTTGAAGATCATTGGAACATAGCCGTCCCTGGCAGCATGGGGACAATGTGCCCAGGTTCTCTCTCCTTGATCCCATCTCCAATCATACCTGAAAACAAAATATAGCAAATTGCTATCTATGTCAATACTTCAGAATAGTCTAAAACATGCTCGTGCTTCTTTGAAAATATGTCAATAACATGACGTAAACTACTTCTACATCGTATAAGGAGTGTACAATTTCTATTCTTATAAAACAGGAACGGACATGGACTTCCCGTAAAGGATTTTAGGAGGGGTTATGCAATTTCAAGTGGGTGTGTTGTTTTTGGTATTTGCAAAGAACTGTGTTTTCGATAGGGACTTTCAAGGTGTTTTGGAAGCATCATAAATATATATAAAAAATCCTTACCACCACGTAACACCGCTGAATTTCCAAGTATCACCACAGACAAAGGCCGAGGAACAAATACCAATACCCTTTTTACTGCTGATTGCCTCCGCACTCTGCACCGTCAGAGCTACTATAGTTAATACGCACACCAACGTGGCCATCATGTATCAATAGAAACAATATACTGTATTTTCACTACCAGATGTACTTTTATGTACCTTTCTTTATCATTCCACTACATAGATAAGCTCTTGTCAAGGATCTTTTCGTTTTTCTTAGTTATCTGTCATTAAAAAAAAATAAAAAATAAACAGCATTGGATGTTCTCATCTGGTAAAACCACTATTATAGAAGTCACGATCGAGTTGAAAGAGTAAATTTAGTTAGGCTTTCATTCATTCGAAGAATTTGAACAATCCTTTCATTAAGACAGCCTGAACTCACAGACAAAAAAAGATAGCTTGCCAGGCAAGGTAACATACGCCAGCTGCCAGAAATGATTACAAAGTCTGTAGTGGTTTAATATATGAAACTAATCATCCGATTTTTACTAATTTCAAGCTTTACTGAGATCTCACACCAAGTTTCATCAAGATCGTATAAAAAAATGTAGTCTCTATCAGGCCTACAAGCCAAATTAACGCATTGAATTAATTCGAGGGCAATAACTCCAAAACCGTTCACCCGATTGTTACTAATTTGAACTTGACTGAGATCTTGTCCATATATACATGCATACCAATTTCATCGAGATCAGATAAAAACTGTACCCTGTATCATGCCTACAAGCCAAATTTGTAGGGTTTTTACTAAATCAAGGGCAATAACTCCAAAACCATTCATCTGATTATGACCAAATTCAAACTTGACCGATATGCCACTAATATATACATTATTTATTATACTTAGTTTCATCAAGATCGGGTGAAAACTGCAGCTTTTATCGCGCATACCAGCCAAATTTAACGTGTTTTTACTGAGTCAAGGGCAATAACTCTGAAACCGTTCATCCAATTTTTACCAATTTTGAACTTAACCGAGATCCCATCAATATATACATACATACTGAGTTTCATCAGGATGGGATCAAAATTGTAGCCTTTATCGTGCATACAAGCCAAATTTAACGCGTTTTTACTAAGTCAAGGGCAATAACTCTGAAACCGTTCATCCGATTATTACCAATTTCGAACTTGACCGAGATAGAATACTTAGAAACAGATGTTTCGGTATATATTCATACCATTTCAGAGACAGCCAAAAAAGCAATTAAACTTTGACGATGTATATTTAAAGAGACAAATGAAATGTTCCTCTACAAATTCGCTTTTTTATATACCGTACCTTTTTGAGCTTACATATCACCATTAACCAGTAACAATTTGACACCGCGTTCGTCAAAAATCACATAGATAATCAATGTGGAATAATATTAATATATTATAATTACGTGCATTTCGTGGGTATAGCGTTATATTTATTTTAATGAGATTTTCGTGTGAATAGGTTGAAGGAAGGGAGATAACTTTACATTGTTTTGGTAAATATTGTTTTATTCAATATATTCAGGTAATCTGATAGCATATTGATCTTTTGGGTTATCAATTACGTATGATATAAATTTACTGTCTAAAAAATAAGTCTTTCAAATCCACTGCTGCTGGAAAATGACATAAATCAGTAAATCACTGAAGTGGACATTACACAGAGTTGTACAGCTTTTACCAATTTTAGCAGCTGTATATAAAAACTATTTTATTATCTTACGTAGTTACGGGGAGAGTCAGTGTTGTTGGCCTATTTGGGTAATTCTACATGGTGAGATATTGCGAAAAAGGGTATGGTGGTGGATTTTCGACAGCTGGATATCCTCTGTAGAATTTGAACAGCATTATTTCTAAGGGGGCTTGAGTAAAAAGACTTTAATCAATTTTTTTTACAGTTAGAAGATGAATCAGTTAAAGAAATTTGCTATGTTTAAGAATGTTGTATCAGAAAATTTAAGGAAACCAAGAAAAGGACCAATTGGGTGGTATCTAACAGTAAGTCACATGAAACCTTCAATAAATATAAGTATAGGCCATACAAAACATTGTGCCTGACCTAGTTACAAGAATATTTCCATGTAAAGTCATAGGTAGTTGCATTATTGAATATAAGTCTTTGTTGGCTCTGAAAGGTTTAGATTTCTAGATTTAAAACTAAGAATTAAAAGATATTATATCTTAATATAGACCATGTATGATTAAAGTTATAGCTTATGTACAAGTTGACCCCTTTTTTCAGAACTATTTTTTCAAGAGAAACCGTATTTTAATGAGAAATGCTATCAAATTTTGTGGTATTCAGTCTAATGATAAAGTCTTAGAAATTGGTTGTGGTCCAGGTTATGGCCTTATCGAAGCAGCTAAATATGTCCAGGGTATGGTGGTGATTTTTTAATTTTGTGCATGATACCTGATGATTCAGTTTGGTTTTAGATTTTGAATTTTAAGTTACAAAACCAGAAGGCATACATTCAATCAGATCTAAGCTGTGCTATCAGAATCTTGCTGATTTTCTGTCAGACTATGGTTTTTATCACACCTTAGACTAGATAATAGCGCAAACATATCTGTCCCTAAAACACATCTGACAATTAAAACCTGACAGTTATGTTCATCAGTTTTTGCAAGTTATCCTAACATCTAAAAACTATCGAGTCCTATTGGGTTTGAAGACATTTCTGCCATCAACAGTTGTCAAATTGTTATCAATTCAACATTGAATAACAATATTTGGAACTCTTGTAGTGTTTCTGGTAGCCAGATCAATCAACTTGTAGATAATTAATATCCCTTGTTTTAAGAGAAACACAGGAGTATAGCTAATGAACTCCCCTGATGAAATTTGTGTTTTACAGATGGTACTGGTGTTATATATGGTGTTGATATCTCTAACTATATGGTACAGGAATGTGAGAAACATTGTAAAGATCTGATCAATGGGAAGAAAGTTGAAGTTGTTATAAGTTCTGTAGAACATATGTCTTTTGACAATGACTATTTTGATAGAGTCTTTCATACTAATTGTTACTATTTTTGGCCTGATTTGGACAGAGCGGTACAGGAAATTGTTCGCGTAATGAAACCAGGATCACAAATGGTAACTGCTCTGAATTTGAATGCACTGAAAGAAATAAAGAAAGGTGGCTTCCTGCAATCTGGAAACCCAGATCCAGTGCGTTACATGGCAGCATTAGAAATGCATGGATTTGAAAATGTTGAATTTAAGTATGAAAATGATCGTGGTTTTGCCTTTCAAGTTATTTTCGCTAAATTGGGACACAAGGAAAATAATATGGATAGTGCAAAATTGTGATACTATGTAGAAAATTTTACAGAATGTCCTTGGTTCCATATTAATAATCATCTGGATTAAGTTGGTTTCATGTCAATGATCATCCATCAAGTCATATTATTGGGTTGTATAAATTGTATTCAATTTCGATACAGATTTGATAGAAATTGAAAAATTAAAGGTATAATATCTTAAATAAGATGCCTATATTTGGATAGAATGTCTTTGTTTCCATGTTTGGAATAAGAATTCTAATCATAACCCATAAGTCCACCAACCACCAGCTAATAAATCTATGAGGTAAACAGATGTGAAAAAAATCCATTAACCATTTGCTGGATCATTTGAGATAGAAATGACAGGTGTCTACACTGTACACTACACCTGCCAAGAAGAATCTGTTAAACAGAAAACAAACTGAATAGTTTTATAATTTTTTATTGAATTTTTATTTGTACTGCAATAAAGGGAGTGAACTGTATAATGAAATATGAAATATCAACACAGTGAAGACAATTGTTTCAATAGAAACCCAGTCTAGGACAAACTTTTTTTAAATAATAGATTATGCAGAAACTAACACAGTCAATTTAATGTTTGCTCTGTTTCTGAGCAATCATAGTAGATAAAGGAAATACATGATCAATGTATGGATACAAGAGAAATAGAAAATATTCTCTTTGATTATTAAAGACATGGAATTGGCATGAATATTCCGTTATCTACCTACATTTGATAGCATCTCAAAATAAGAGAGCAGTTAAGTGTCATATTTTCATAAAGTTTAAAGTTATCAGTTATCTGTATCAATTTCAGGAAAAAACAAGTTGGGTTCCTTCATATAGAATACAACTAAGATATACTTTGGAAACCTAGAATATTGTTAATTTCAGGGTGTTAGAAATTAACTCCCAATTAATATGACAGATATTATTATATCATCAGTTATCACACTGGAAACATTTGATCAATTGTAGAAGGATTAGACATCTGATTTCTTATCTGAAAGGTGGTAAGGATAGTGGTAAAATAAAGCTGGAATATTCAAAATATTAAGACAACTATCCCTAGGACAGCACTATTTAACAGAATATCACACATATCAATCATTACATGTTTTCTCTGAAAACTTTACTTTTTGATCACAACATTGATCATGGTAAATGATAATAAAAAAAAATTACATTAACAGCAGTATATCTCTAAAAAAAAATAGCAAACTTCTTTTTTCTGATTTAATTTGAAAATATAGTGTGTTTCAAACTGTCAGAAACAAACAGCTTTGTATAATCTAATAATCTTCACTCATTACTGTAACACAGTTAATCAATTATTTCTATTATGCTTGTACATAATTAGTTTTCTTCAATAATGAAAATATGATAAAAAAAAATGCAGTAATTTTGTTCTATTAAAACCATTAACTGAAATCAAGAAACTTTCATCATAAGAAAAATAATCCTAAAATGTAGAGATCAAGAAATTTTCTGTCATCTACCTGTCAATAATGTCTCTGTTTTTAACCGGTATTTCAAATTTATATTAAAAATAGTTTTATTTACAATAAAAATGAAAAATTTATTTACAATTATTCTATTAAAAGATCTAATTGCACTGTGCATAACTATTCAGAAAACAGAAGGCAAATGTTGAAGTAAGACGCTAATTTATGGACGGTACAGATAGTTTATTACCCCATTCCAGTTAAAATATTGAGGAATTGTACCCTGATACAGGGCACTTGATAAGCTGTTAATTAGCTATCCTAATTTTGCTTTCATAAATGTTCAATAGTCTGCAATGGCTAACACTGGAAGAATTTAATTTATTAGATTTAATTTTTATAAAAGTAGCCAAACAAATTGTATATATAGCATCGCATAGGTGGCTGCTTAATGATGGTATGAATGTCTGAAGGTGTATCAAAGCTTTCATAAATGGGGATGCTATAATTTCTTGAATTGCTTAAAAATGCATGACCAAGTCATTGGGCCCCTTTCTTTTACTATATTAAAAACCTGATAAAGTAAAACAAGATTGAAAATATTATGATTCTTGCTAAAAGATAATAAGAAATATTATGCTTTCAAATAATAAATTTATGCTTCATTCCTTTTTAGTTCTGTTAATAAAGAATCACATTATATCTAAAACAACAAACACAGTGGTGGTCGTAATTCAGATTTCCTTGCAAACTGTTTAGTTTATTTCAACAAAATAATGTCAAATGGAAATCTACTTTCTTTGCCATAACATTCTTATTTCATATATATATTTAGAGATTTCAAGATATTCGATACATCAATATCATTGTAAACAGCCAATCAGAAGTCTTAAAATCAGTGTCAAAATTAGGATACTTGTTGTAACACTCTAATAAATGATAAAAAGATGACCATAAATTCAGCAAAATAAAGAATAATAATAATATATATATATATAATAAATGATATAAAGATTATGTACATGAATATAATTTGATTATTATAATTATTTATAAAATATATATTATTACAAGTAATTTTACTTTCTAACAGACCTGGTTCTGTGGAGCTCAATATTCTGACAATTTGTATGTGTTCTAAACATTATACACTGATTTAAAACAAAGTTTCATTAATTATTATTTAAGGCATTAGCCCATAAGAAACAAAAACTATGGTCCAAATATATTTCAGATATCTTTTAGTCAATTTCTATTTTAATCTTTTTCTGATCATATAACATACATTTTGATTTTGGGAATAAAACAAATAATTTCAATTGAAACATTAACGCATATATATAATAATTTTCTATTGTATTGAACACTGTATCTGAAACATATGATAAGCTCAATCAATTGGTCATTGCTGTTCTTAAAAAATATTGAGCCAAAGCATGGTAAATCATAGAAGTCCATGTAATAGTTAGATAACATTGAGCTGTTAGAAATCCAGGTCTGTAAATTTAGCACTTTATTAAGCCACAGAGAAATCACAGTCAGAGTCTATTCCTTTGTTCATTTAAAAATAAACAATTAAAAAAACATAACAGAGAAACAAACAGCACTATTAAAAACAAGTATCTTAAACTAGGAAGTATTTAAAGATATTTTGAGGTCATTGTAGCAGTTCAAACATGTTTACAGCTTTTACAAGTAAACACATTTCTTCTATTTTGTTTACATAACTTGTGGAATTCTTCTATTGAAGTCAACCTATAAACTGCATTTAGACAAAATTATTCATAATTGGAGTCAATAGGTTTGATATATAGAAATAAAGAATTACTGGCAGGTTTGGCATCTCTATCAAGAGGTACTTGAAGTATGGAAAATTACTTGTTTATTATCAACAGTATTTCTTCAAGTTGAGAGAATATTGCTACTGCTTTAATCCACCAAAGTTTGTATACATCTAGGTACAACTCAAAACAAAAACATAACCCAGTCCACTTTATTGTAAGGTAGTATTGTTATCCAATATATTTTTTTAAGATTGTGATTAATATCTGTAATTTTTTAATAGAAGATGAAAAACATTTGCAGTTATACAACCAGTATTCCAATATCATTTGTTCAAAAATTGTAATTAACAACAAAAATAAACCTCCACAGCATTTCAGAATTGTGAAAAAAAGTTTTGTTCTTGTCTTAAGTAGATTACATACTCTACACACCATACCAACACAGATCCTGTATATATATTGAACTTATCTTTATCTGATACACTCATTATTCCAATATTTTAGACACTGGTAGAACAAATGAGCCAATAGACCACGTCCTTGTCACATGCTTTATTACAAACCATTCCTTTGAAGACACAATGCCTAACACTTCTGTAGCAGTGAACACTGTCCTTACAAACCAATCAAACACACTCATCTTGCCTAATACATCAAGTTTAACTCGAGATTTCTGTGGCCACACATTCTTGAGAACAGAATACTAATCAACCAATCAAACAAACACACCCTATTGTTCTGTAATCCTTTCCAAACTATTCTATACAGTTACTTAGTCCCATTCAGGAACATAATTGGAAGCTTAACAAGTTGACAAACCTGATTGAAAAATGATATCAAGTGTTCCAAATTGTGAGCACACTCTTCATCACTTGTGTCTGATTTTAATCTACATCAATTTGACTTGCATTGTTTAAGCTGAATTCTTGAGGTTATGGCGTACTCCAATGCTTCATATTTCTTGGATGCAAAAAGAAGATAAGGATCTTCTTTGAAATGATGTAACAACACAAAACATTGAACACAATCAAAGATTAACACTCAATTTGATCTTTAGGCAGCAAAACACTTTCCTTTGTGTCTGAGGTACATAACTCTTTGAATAAGGAACCTGAAAACACTAGGCTGATTTTCAATTTCTATGAAAATTTCACTTACACAAAACGGTTTTGCATATAACTTAAACACTCATAATTGCATAGATATATATAAGCTATGTAGTAAATTGGATTTTTGTAATCGTTATAAATTTACACGTCACTTGTCCACTTTTAACATTACGTTCCTTCATGCGTAAATCTATGTTTTAAAAGATCCTCTGCAGAAGGTCTGTCAATTTGAGTTCGTTGAAACGTGTGCGCCAAAAATTCCTTGGCTAGATTTGAGACTGTAGGTGGAAGTTCATATTTTGGATGCTTGCACTGAACAATTTGAAACATGGCAGCAAAAGGTTCATATTCATAAAATGGTGGTTTGGTAGAGAGCATTTCAACTATTGAACAACCCACACTCCTATAAATATAAATATATTGAAAGAAATGATTAGCATGTAGTATGAATGACTGGTAGATGAAGGATAGGGGTTGACTTCTGGTAGAGTGGAATGAGTTGTAGTGATTAGGGTTCAATGCGTGTAACATGGATATTAATTCTCTTCATGGATAAAAAATCTTATTCTTGAAAACATAGTGCCCTGAAGCCTTACAGTATTTCCCCACATCAGTGTTTTATCATCAGTTTGGAGACTCCTGGAAAACTTTCACCCAGAGTTTAAAATAAAACAAAAAAATTACCAGATATCAGCTTTTCTACCATAACCTTCCCCATTTATAACTTCTGGAGCCATCCAATGAGGAGTTCCTACTGCTGTTTTTAACCCAGTAGAATTACGAATAGTTTGAAGTCTTTTTGAAGCACCAAAATCACCTAGTTTCACATTGCCTTGAGTATCACGTAACACATTAGCAGCTAGAATAGAATTAAAAAGTTAGCCAGATTGTTTTCTGGAAAAGTAGTCAAGGTTAGTTAGGTATGTCCAACGAGAGGAATTTAAAAACCTCAAGGCTAGACATTATCAACAAGCCTTTTAAGATTCGATTTAGATCCAAACATCAGTACAATTAGATACCAAAACAAAAAGAAAAATAATAATAATAATAATGACTAGAGGCCAGTCTAAAGAGCACTATAATTTAATAAATTTGACGATACCTTTGATATCACGATGAACAATAACATTTTTATGTAAATAAGCTAAGCCTAGTAACATTTGCCTTGTATATTTTTTCACTATAGATTCTTGTAGACTCCCTATATCATGGATTAAATCTTTCACTGAACCCTGTTAATAAACAATCAAATCAATTTATTTCATTATATACATTATATACATAATAAGTCAAAATTTTAGGTTAACATTGTGGTGTCCTTAAAAAAAACAAAACATAAAGAATATCCTTAGTCTGAGTTACAATCTACGACTTTCACAAAATTGATTTTGCTCATTTACCATGAGAAAAACCCACCGAAACACTAAACTTTCATAGCATCGCCCTAATAGAAGATACCAAGAGAGAAATAAGTTTATAATCATTGTACATTATATCATAGAGTCCATTTCAATTGGTAAAAATATGTGGTTGGAACAATTAAAAAAACATCATTCTTCATTCTAGAGAGAGTTACTTACCCCTGGCATATATTCAATAAATATAGACAATATAGTTGCTTCATTCTGACAACCAAAATATTGAACTATTCTCTCATGTTGAAAATTACGTAATAACTGTAATTCATTCTCTAGAGCTCTTACTTCCTGTCAAATAAAATTCAAAATGACATGAAATGGGACGTTATCTTTACAAACTGTGCAATGGATAATATTTCCAGGACAGCAACACTAGCCTGCTCTTTTTTGTTCCCAATTGTCAGTGGTTTTTGATTTCTACAGGTATCATTCAGAGTTTATTGTACCATTCACAAAGACACATTTCTGTAGTGAAACCTATGAAACACATCACTGACCAGGTAATCAAGATGAAAAATCCACCTATATCACTCATTATGATATATATATATATATATATATGTAACTAATTAAGAACTAACCTTCGATGTTTCAGCATTTAAATTACCAAGTTGCACCATTTTAACAGCAAATTCCTGTCCTGTATCTAGGTCATAACATTTATAGACCTCACCAAACGCTCCTGTTCCTAATAACTGACCTTTCTGCCAATTAGTAGGGGCTCGGGGAGCTGAAATTTAACACAAATTAAATATTGAAAATATCAAAACATACTAGAAGCAGATACAATGCTTTTAAGCAGACAGATTTTGACAAAAATAAGATCCAATTGTAGCTTGGAGACCTTAGTATGGAGATTATTATAGTGTTAACACCTCCATTGTATTGTTAGTAATAGATAATAACAAAACTGTAAGATATTAAAATCATCACTTAATTCACAATTGTTTGTCTAATGGCAAAAAATTGAATTTTCTTGTGATATATCTTCCATTTCATCATATAATCATTGTAATGAGATACAAGTTAAGTTGGAAAAAACTCTACTGGTGATTTAAAAATAAGTTACTTACATTTAGAGAAGTGAGGTCCAGATAGACTGTACATGGTAGGACTTTCTATATCACTGTTACGTTTTTTAAGATGGCCGCCAGGTGAATCAACATCTAGATCACTAAACAAACCACTACTCCTGCTACCAGTACTGCTACATGTACTCAACGTACCTTCACTGTTCCGTGACATGAACGATGTAAGAGACATGGAGTCTAACTCTGGACGAGAGTTATGATACCTTGGAAACGTCTGACGACCTGAAAAATGTAAATAACAGGTAAGAAGTCCTGTCACATCAAATTAGCTATAAAGAATACTAATGATTTTAGATTCACTACACATGATATTACAGTTCTTAACACCTTCACATATATATGGCTATACTGCAGAGTTTTTTGATAGAGTCAATAACACAACTTACCATCTCCTTGTGTCATGTGAGCATTACTTTCACCACCTCTTGGAAATGTACCATATGGCTTTCTATTGGCTGGAAATAAAAATAACACAACTATAAAATATTGAGTAAAATAGTTTTTATGAACCTGATAGAAATTATGAAGATTAATATTAGAAGCAAATGAAAGGTGCTATCACTGAATGGTAAAAAACCAGATGGTAAAATTAGAAGTTATTACCTCAGTACATGCTAGAGGTTGAACCCAAAACTTCTAGGGTAGCATGCAAGCAATTTATAATTCAGAACCCCGCTTCTCTGTCAAAAGATTATGTCTTATGATTAAGCTATTTGAAAGACATTTGAAAGAAAAGTCCCAAACTTACGATCATCTTTGGCACTGTCTGATAGAACACTTCTTCTAGAATCTCTTCTACGTAGTGGAAACGTCTCATTGTTACTGCTGAAAGAAAAGAATCAAAGTTTGACCTTATCCCTTCTGCTCTTGATTGGACTAATGAAAATGGGCAATGCCATGCAGTGTGTAATCAAAGGAATTTTCGGTCAGCCCATGACACAGGAAATGACTATCTTGACCCTAATTCATAAAATATCTTATAAGTTAAATATATCATATTATAACACTGAATTATTTTTATTAATACTTACTGTCCACTAAAATAACTACTTTCTAAGGAAGAATTACTATTAATAGATCCACGGCTTGGATGTCTCTGTAATAAATTCTGAAATTAAAATGTTCAACTTTAGTTATTAAAAGTGGGACTGTCTCCATCTGTATGTGTGTTCTGTTTTTGTTAAAGAGATTGTAAAGAGGTTTTCTAAATTGTCCAAAACACTGATAGCATCAATTTGCACCTTAATTAAAAACCTTTTTACAATCTCTTTTTGTTAGTTTTGATTTTTCAATCACAAAAACAAACACTAAATGAAATGAGACTGACAGATTGCAGTAGTATATACTGGTCTAAAGTTAATAAATTATAAAATCATCTTACCCCTTCATTAGGAGGTTCTGGTATAAATTTACCACCTTCATTGAATGAAGTCATATGATTTTCATTCACATGATTGTCATGTGATGGTATAAAACCAGGTGGAGGGCTGGGTGATGGACGGCCCTGAAAAACAAATAATAACTTTCTGATATTCAGTTTTTCATTACAATCCCATTCTGACTAGGATATAATCTAAGATTTTAAATATAGCCTGTATATCATTAAAAGCTCAGACTTAAACTTGCCTGTTTTAAATGCCTGCTTTTTATAAATCTAATACTGGTAATCTTGTCATACTGAGCTAGTACTTTATTTGTCACATATTCTAAGAAATGTAAAAACTCATATCATCTAGATTTGCTCTAGAATTTATTGGTCATACTTGCTGCAGAACCTTACATTAAATGATAAAGAAGAGAATTTGAAGTCGAACAAAAAGGGATGCACATATTAGTAAAAGGACTCGGTAAACCATCTACTTTCATCTACAACCATGTCTGAAATTGTCCACGACTGGTCCTGTATCTTAGTACGATGAGAGCTCTACTGAAGCAGGCTGCACACAAATGAGCAATATTTAGAACAAAAGGTTAAAAACTTACAGTATTGTGATTCTGAATAGTTGAACTAGTTCTATTATTATTATTATTATTATAAGGTGGGTTATTGTGGGTGTTGTGTGTTTTGAAAGAGGCAGGTTGAGTAAGATATAGTCGTAAACTACAGGCTTTCTCAGTCTGATCTAACAACTGTATAGCACACTCTATATCTTTCTGACTTGTTAGTGGTACAAACAGCTGAAAACAAAATATAATCAATGTATTCAGAATGATAAACTGTCATAAAAAACACTTGTTTTTTTTGTATAGGGATGAAACTCACATATCCCTTCTAAATTAGCAAATTTCTAACCCAACACTTCTCAGTAATAGAGGGGATGCAGTCCTCTGTTTCTGTGAGTTTTCTGGTCTTGTGGAGTTGTGGGACTGTTGGTTTAGAAGTTTTATTTTGGTCTGTTTGGATTGCTGGAAAAGTGGGGCTGCTGATTTAGGTTGCAGAGTTCTGGTGGGGATCATGGTCTTGAGAGGTTAAAAATTTTTGTCGAACTCGTGAGCTATTGGTTTAGAGGAGCTACAAGTTTCCATTATTCTGATGGGCCCTCACTTTAGATTTGATGTGCTCCTGTTTTTTCTTATCTAGTGAGCTGACAGTTCAGTTTATCTAGTGAGCTGACAGTTCAGTTTATCTAGTGAGCTGACAGTTCAGTTTATCTAGTGAGCTGACAGTTCAGTTTATCTAGTGAGCTGACAGTTCAGTTTATCTAGTGAGCTGACAGTTCAGTTTATCTAGTGAGCTGACAGTTCAGTTTATCTAGTGAGCTGACTGTTTAGTTTATCTAGTGAGCTGACTGTTTAGTTTATCTAGTGAGCTGACTGTTTAGTTTATCTAGTGAGCTGACTGTTTAGTTTATCTAGTGAGCTGACAGTTCAGTTTATCTAGTGAGCTGACTGTTTAGTTTATCTAGTGAGCTGACTGTTTAGTTTATCTAGTGAGCTGACTGTTTAGTTTATCTAGTGAGCTGACAGTTCAGTTTATCTAGTGAGTTGTTAGTTTAGTGAGGTTGGTGGTTTCTGTTAGTTTGGTGGCTTGATTTTTAACATTTCTGGAAGCCTAACCAGATAAAGTTGGGACTATACCATAGTTTCAAATGGCACAAAAGGAAAATTTGACCATGTAGTTAAGTGTGTCTTTTGAGCATGTCGGCAACAAATTTTAGCATGCAGGAAAATAAAGAATACATCGGCTTACCTCTCCAAAAGTTTGGGTATAAAAAATATTCAATTCAACTTGATACATTTCTTGTAATTTTTTCTTTAACTCTGTAAACTGGGCAGGGCGACTGATTGAAATGGCTCTGAAATTACAACAACAGAATTTGAATTAGAATCATGACACATTAACCTTAAATTGTTCTGTCTTGGTTGGATTCCTGCAGAACTTTTGCTTTGACTGTAAAAACTACAATACACTGTTTTGATAATTTTCTTCTGTCAAGCAATCTTTAACATACCGGTATTCAACTTGTATCATATAGGACTGTATATTGTTTTTAAAGATTTGACACTTTTCCATTCTACAGACATAAAAATGGAATCATGACCACAAAAACATTTACAGGTACATGGACTCATTTAATCTTCTTTATGAAGAGTTATACACAAAAGCTTCAAAAGTTTCTGTAAAAAAGAGAACCGTTTTCTGTTTACTTAATGTATTTATTGTGGCCTGGTCCAGATCTACAGTCTGGTGTAAATGAGGCTATGCTATCTGTATATAAATGTAAGTCCTCATGTACCATAAAGTTTTTATCTTATCTCATCTGTAATAACCTTTTCAGTTTTTAAACTTGAGTTACCAGCAAACAATGAAGTTTTTAAGATTGTTGAAACATATCTAAAAATGCAAATAAAACAGTTTTGGCAAGATGGTGAAATGTATTTGATTATGTACTCTTTACCCCTTAAATACCCTTATAACCTTGACATTATACAAATAATTCAACATAAAGCTTTGACCTATTTTGTTGCTGATAGTAAATAATATAGAAGATGTAATAAGAATACATGTAAGAAGTATATTATACTTATTAAGATGAAGAACAAGGGGCTGGTGACTAGTAGATCATGGTACAAGTATAATATACATTCTAACAATCAACAGTCTGTATCATGTCTTCAAACCCTCCACTCTTCAAAAATAAACAACTTCATTTAATGACTTAATAACTTGAATTTCATCACCATATATTTTATCTATTTAATTCAACTCTCTCATACTCTTCTGCAACTTTTTGGTCTCATTAAATAAGACCATTGTATGGAAATATGAAGCTTATTTCACCATTTAAACCATTGGACAATATCTGACGTTTTATTATCATATCTCTATAAGCATTCTTAACTGTTCTTTTAGGAGCTGCTGTGACTTACTGAGTTAGCAGTCCAAGCCTAGAAAGAATTCTACATTGCAAACTGCATGGTATTGCTCGTCTTCATAAGCCCAACCTACAGCAGCCCCATTTTTTGCTTCAGGTAGTGTAAACTAATTTATTTGAACTTCAGGGGTTATTGATTTCAGTCATTGGCCTGTCTGTGTGTGTGTGTGTGTGTGTGTGTGTGTGTGTGTGAAATCAGTTTTGGGTTTGGTTGGTTGTGTCAAATCATATGAAAACCAACCACCAGTATCCATTTTTCTGATAAAATTGAATTGCTTTGGACACTTGCCAATTTGTTAGCCTATTGTCATGTTTACCCATAACTTAACATAGCATTCACTGATACTTCACACTAACTGTGCCATGCAATATATATTTATCTTATCAAATTTTAAATTATCACACAGTGCATTCTTTGTAATCTACTTGAGTTTTTTTTATACAAGGTAATAACTGTAGAAGTCAGTGAAAGTTTAAAGTTCAAGTAAACATTGGCACATAAAAATAAATCTTTATATCCTGTTACTTTCAATTATTTCAAAAGTATTTGCTTTGCTCAAAACTGTCCAGCGTTTCGTAACACTGAACCATATTTGGAAATATTGAATATTCATGCCGAATTATAGATGACTTCTATCAGCATGCATCCTCAATTCTGTGATGTAAATTAGTACTAATAGATACCTTTCCTCAGTCAGTTAGTCGCTTGCTCTCAAAGCTTAAGTTCCATGGGTCAATTACAACACAAATCAAATTAATCCTTTCCGATTTGTTTAAC